GCTGGGGGCACAGATGGCTATGGCTGACTTCCTCTGTTGGCGGCATGAAGGTATATGGCAGCTGGGTGCGGTTTGGGGCTGGCTGTCAGAGGGAGAGGAAGGCCAGTGTTGGAGCAGCACCACTGGGAAGAATGGCACACCTGTCATGTATTTGTGCAATTTTTTTTCTCTACCCATAGAAGTTGTGAGCAAGCGGAGGAGACAGATATATTTTTAATAAAAACTTTTCAGGGCGGGCAGTTTAAAGGCGGAGGTACGTAAAGTGATGGAGCTATTTTGTGGTCCAGAAGAAGAGAGAAAAATGCCAGCACGATGATTTTAATGTTTCATCGATTCAGTTTTACAGACATTTTGCCAAAGCTCTAAACCATCCAGTACAGTAGTTCAGCTTGCATGTGCATATAATTTGAAGTTGTGTTGTACTTTGCAGGACATGTACAACACATTTCATCAGCTGCAGCATTTCTATTTTTCTACACACTACTACGTTTCTTACTCTTGTATTTTATTTTCCACTATGATGTATGATTTTTACTCTCTACTTATCAGTTGTGGTGTCCCTTCTGTGATAGTTCATTATTATCCCCATCAGTAAATGCTCCCTTTAAATGATTTTTTTTAGTTAAATCACAACGATTCGATGCTGCAGTAGATATTAGTTTCAATTTCGTCGACTTCTGCTTCCTTGGCATAGAGCTCAGCTTCGCTGGCATGAAGATCAGCTTCTTTGGAGTAGAAATCTTGTTGATGTTTAATATTAACCTGCATTCTGCTGTAATGAGCTGAGATGTTTTCATAAATGGGACCAGGGTGCATCTACAGAAAGAAGACAAATGATATGAGCATTGGGTTATTTAACACTAAGGATTCAGTTTTTGCCTCATTGAAATAAAGAAATTACTTTTTTGCAAACGTTGTACATTTTGCAAAACGTTTTGATGTATGATATCTATCAGATTTAAATAGGTTCGGTTTTTTTTCCTTTCATTCTTTGTATCCAGTAAAACACATTTTTTTTATTTATTATTGTCATTAATGAAGCTAAAAGTATTTCTTATTATTCAATTAATCAATGGAATAATTGATGAAATATTGAATTACTAAAATAACCAATAGCTGCAGCCCTAATGGCTAGCAATTCGTGCAGAGGATGGTGAGAATTTTTTTTATGGATAACAGTTCAGTGGTCTCCTCCCCAAAAGAGCTTTAGATGTGTGCAGATGCAGCTGATGACACTGTGTCATAATGTAAATGGCCTGCATTTGTATAGCGCTTTTCTAGTCCTTAAGGACCCCAAAGCGCTTTACACTACATTCAGTCATTCACCCATTCACACTCACATTCACACACTGGCGATGGCAAGCTACATTGTAGCCACAGCTGCCCTGGGGCGCACTGACAGAGGCGAGTGTGAATGTGTTTTAGTCACATAAAAAAAAATACAACTGTTGAGTAGAAACATAATTGAGGTAGGTGGTGAGCTCCAGTGACAAAAAGGCTACAAGAGGTTAGGATGTAAGTGAGAAAAAAAAGCATGATGAATGACTTTAAAGTTTTTTTCTGTGATGGAGAATAAATTATTATTCCTGTGAAGAGAAAATGAGAGATTTTTTTAACCTGTTTATTATCTGAAGTTTCTTGTCTTGGAGACTGACTGGAAGTCCTCTTTTTTCTATTGCACAAAAATAAATAAATAAAATGTTAAAACATTTGGTAAATGTAGTGATTTTTTAGATAGCGCTTCTCTACACTCCTGGAGTACTCAAAGCACGCTATACAACATGCCACATTCACTCTATGCTTTCTCACTAGCATACACATTCATACTGTGATGGATGCATCGGAGAGCAAGTGGGGGCTAGTATCTTGCCCAAAGATATTTGGCATGCAGACTGAGGGAGGCAAGAATCGAACCACCAACCTTTTGATCAACAGATGACCTGCTCTAGCTCCTGAGCTACAGCCACTCCATTTCATATCACAGTTTAACCATGACTGGTATGACAGATGAGACAGTGTAGCTTACCTCCTGCACCAGCAGACAGTGAGAGGTATTAAAACCAGCAGAGCAGCAGAACCTCCTGCAGCTGCTGGTGTCCATGTTCCTGTGATACTTTGGACAGTGAGAGTCTTTGGAGCAGAGCTGATATCT